GGGTATGGTTGAATTTGGGGTATTTTCAATCATTTCCCCACAGGTCTAGGGAAATAAAATATGATCCAACCCAATATTACTGAATTAGAGAGAGCTTAGGAGACTCCCTAAGTATTGAGTAAGAATTCTTGAAGTGCAATAATTCTTTTCTCCTTACAACTTTTAAATTATTGTACTTCGAGAGTTCTTGGTCAATCTTGGCAGTCCATGAGTTCTCCCTACAAATATCAGATTTTGTTCTCTCGTTATCCTTTCCAAGGTAAAACCCAGTTTTTTGCTGTTGTTATATCTAGGTATCTATTTGACTGAGTTTTTGTGGTTTTATTTGGAATTTAATTTGGTGGTTCTTCTTAAAATTCTTTATTTCCATGATTTATTAGCTAGCTTCGCTTTGTTTCTCAGAAACTTTGTGATTTTTTTTCGTGGATAAAGAATTAAAGATCGTTCCGAGAAAGTAAATTTTGGTTTTTAATTTTTTTTGTCTGACTAGGAATTTATTTTGGCTGAATTGTAATGGTTTGTGTATTGCTATTCAATTTACTAATTTCAATATGGGAAAATTGAAATCATGTGTTTTAGAGATAATGGGTTCAGGGATCCTGAATTTATGTTCTGCGAATTTTAGGGTGTTTTTTTCTTTTCTTTTGAACTGTAAAGGAAAATTTGAATTTGTGATGGGTATTTCAATCATGAAATTCTTTGCTAGTTCATTATACAAGTCTGAGAGATGAGTTTTTAACTGAGTATTTGTGAAATTTTGGCTGATGATCATCAATTGATCACCCTGTTTTATGCATGTCTCTGAATAGGAATTCAGTAGATCATCATTTTATCTTTGCAAATAGTTTTCATATATTTTTTTTTTCATTAATAAGCTCTTTGAGTTATGAGTTGGAGCGCTCGCCGCCATTTTCCTAGCTCCTCTATTTTCATCTTGTCTTCTTCGGGAGCTGGTTTTGCTAAACTAATCATCTGTTATTATTTTCCCCGTTCTTGTTTCCTTGTTCTGATCTTATACTTGTTGGTTATCTCATTTAGCAAGACGATGGACTTGCAATGCACGTAATAGAGGATTGAACGTGGTCAGAGATACAATTTTTTCTTACCAATAGGAAGAGAAGAAGAAAGAAAGCCAATGGGAGCTAGATTGAGTTTAAATGATCAAAAGGCAAGCCCGAGTGAAATCATTGAGGTCTCACGGGTTGAAACGTGTAAGAGACAAAGGACGTCATCAAGCTTCTGGGATGAAAATCCGCGGCTGTTTCCTGGACTTCCAGATGAAATATCCATTCAGATTCTCGCCAGACTTCCAAGAATATGGCATTTGAAGGCAAAGCAAGTCTCCAGGAGCTGGAAAGCTGCTATTATGAGTGGAGAAATTTATAGGTTAAGAAAAGAACATGGTATAACGGAGGAGTGGCTCTACATTCTGACTAGAGTCCGCAATTTTAAGCATATGTGGTATGCCCTCGACCCGGTGTCCCGGATATGGCAAAGATTGCCTCCGATGCCCAATCTTGCTACTGAAGATGGTTCTAGAATTGCAGATGCCGTAAAAGGCTGGCTTGGCTTGAAGGATTTGTGGCAAAACCTATATTGTGGTTGTTCTATTTGTGCTGTCAATGGCTGCCTTTATGTCCTGGGTGGTTTTTCCAAGCTTAAAGCGATGAGGTCCGTCTGGCGTTATGATCCAAGAGACAATTCTTGGAGTGAAATGGCACCCATGTGTACTGGTCGAGCTTACTGTAAGATCAGTGTCTTAAACAACAAACTTTATGTTGTTGGAGGTCTCACCATGGATCTAGTTGGAGTTAGACTGATCCCTCTTCAATGTGCAGAAGTATTTGATCCTTGTTCCGGTACATGGACTGAAATCCCTAGCATGCCGTTTTCAAAAGCTCGGGCACTACCTACCCCCTTTCCATCTGAATTGCTGAAGCCTGTTGTAACTGGAATGACATCATATCGGGGGAAACTATATGTTCGTCAAGGTTTATATTGCAGGCCGTTGATTGATGCTGGAGGGGAGGTATATGATCCAGAATCGAATTCATGGGTCGATATGCCAATAGGCATGGCAGAGGGTTGGCCTGTCAGGCAGTCGGGTGCGAAGTTGAGTTTCATCGTCAACGAAGAGTTATATGCATTGAATCCCTCAAATTCTGTTGATAATGCTCGAATCAAAGTGTATGATCATCAAGAAGATGCTTGGAAAGCAATTGAAGGAGGTTTACCCAATCGTAGCCTTACTGATTCAATGTCTCCATATTTATTTGAAGGTTTCCTTGGTAAGCTTCACGTGATCACTAAAGACGTGAATCATAACATCTCTGTCATGCAGGCCGATACGTTAAAAAGACTCGCATCATCTCCATCTCCATCATCAGATTCCTCGGAAGAGCTTTCTGAAGCAGTGACAAGATCCCCTGAAAGGACCTGGAAAGTCATTGCCACTATTCAAGCTAAACGGGATGAACTAGACAGCTGTCTGATTCTCCGCTATTAAGCCCCCATTTTCTAGATATTTATTGAATGAGGCATCTTAAAAAATGTCCACATTTTTGGGTGTCAATTGAAAAATATCCACTTTTTTAAATTTTATATTAAATTGTCCATTATGCCCTTAATGAAAAAATGAAGCAATTTATTTTTTTTTCAATTTTTCACAAATTTCGAGAAGTAGCTTTTATGAGAAGCTACATTCAAATGATATTCTCCACATTTCAAATGTCGTTCTTGACATTTGAATCCTATTTATATTTCAAAGTACACATGTCAAATCACAATATTAAATGTTNATATAGAATATGCGGTTAGGAATATGTGTCAAAATTTTATTGGCCAATAAAATTTTTAATAGTGAACATTTTTGTGTTTATGTGGAATTATAAATTGTTAAGAATGGTATTTTGGTCTAAATTCTTTCAAAATGAACATTTTTACAATGGTGGACATTTTTGCAAATGAACATGAAAAAGTGGACATTTTGTGAAATTTCCTCTTATTTAAATTTTGATAGAAAAATTGCGGGCCCATAAAATGTGATTAAAATTAATTATTAACTTTGACCTAAATTTCAATTCAAATTTAATTCAAAGGTTGTCGCCTCTTTGTTTGTCCGGCGTTTCCTTCTTTTCTAGATCAATTAGAATGATGATTTGGGTGAATACATGGATGAGTTTGGACAAAAATGAATTTTTACATAGTGAGGCTCAAACTTAAATCTTTCACGCCCTGTTTGATGGCCATTAGGAAAAATAGTGATTTTTTGAAAAATATATGGTTAAAAGATATGAAAAAAAAATGAATTTACATACATAATGTTTTATTGTGTAAATATGTTGTTGAAATAAGTATGTCGAAAAAATAATTTTCAAATAATAATCATCAAATTGGTCTCCCAGTCTAATTTACATATTTCGTGGTGATCCCAACATAAACCTAAATTAGGTATAGGAACCTACCAAACAAATTTTAACAATATTATCTAATCATACTGATGATGATAGGGTACTCGTCTAGATGGTAAAAAATGGTACTTCTAATAAAATTTTATATTATGGTTTGTTATAGGACTATTTTTAATCACACATTCACAAAATAAAACATTATACACGTACATCAAAAACTTTTTCCTACTTTTTAAACCACACATTTTCCTAAAAATCACTGCTCAAAACTCTTTTTTCCTGCCAAGATGGTTGTCACAAACATGCTCTAAATGAATTTATCACATATATTGTCATCTAAATTAATATTAAATAACAGTATGACTAGATAGAATTAGTCAATAAATTTCTGAACTATCTACTAGTTTATTGATTTGCGATTATAATTGTTTGAAAAATTTATAAATGGTTTATAAGTAGAAATAGCGAGAGGAATAATAATAGTCCACGAAATATATGGATAATAATTTATTTGGCCCCATTTTAATGAGATTTTGAAAATAATGTATTTTGTAAGAATGTGTGGTTAAAAAAGAAGAAAGAATTTTTAATTTACGTGTAATATTATTTTATTGAAGAATGCTTAATTGAAGAAGAGAGAAGAGAAGAGAAAGAAAAATGTATTAAAATTTTAACGAGGATCAAACAAAGGCCGCATGGTACTTCTAAAAATGTAATTAAAATTAAAGCTTGATTTTAACTAAATTTATAAATGATTTATAAGCCTTGTTCAATGCCCATTGTTTTAAGAGCTTTGCTGCACAACCAGAAAAAAAAACACCAAAATTGCAACAGATCACTCACAAAAGGGTGGGGCCCACATTTGTCTATATTCTGTTGCAATTCTGGTTATTTTTTTCAGTACAAATATTTTTTCTCTTGTTTTAAAACTCTTTTTAGTATATGATTATTTTCAATTATACATTCAAACAATAAAATATCATGCACGTAAATTTAAAAATTTTTCCTACTTTTTAATCACACATTCTCCTAAAATATACAATTCAAAACTCTTTATTTTTTCAAATAATGGGCACTAAGCCGTTGTTTGATATTATTTACTTTAATTTAATTTATTTTTTTATATTCATTTTTAATCGCACGTCCACAAAATTACATAATAAAAAATTTTACTTGTTAATTTTTTAAAAAAATTCTACTTTTTAATGAAGCATTTTTTAAAAAATATTACTCAAAACTATGTTTTTAAATTTTTTAGGGAACGGGGGCTAAATTTGTATAATCCAGCTCTAGTGAAAAATTGGACCCGAGTACCAGTACCGACCCGTCAAAACCTTTGCCGCTTAGCTTTTTACAAACGCTACATGGAATACACACACGCTTAGTAAACTGCTTCAAGTTTTAATTTTTGTTGGCTTTCCTCTGGATATTTGCGAGATTTTGAGGCAAGAACAGCTAAAAACCGTCTAATCTGGTAATACTTGTTCTTTTTCCATATTTTCAATTATTATACTGTTAATTTTTAGTTTTAAATTTAAATTTATAGTTGTTATATTTTGTAAACTAGCAAACTCTATGGCAACGTTCGGCACTGCGTCTGCCCCTGCAAATACAAATCCCAATCGTTCTACTGAGGTAATTTTCAATTAATTTGTACTGTATTTAATTTATTTACTGGGTTTCTTGAATTCAATTTAGACTATTTGAATATTTGTATTTATTAGGGGGTTTCATTGCGTTTGGTGGGCTTTATAATTGATTGATATTTTGGGTGTGTAAAAAGGTGGTGCAACCTCCAAGTGATTCTGTGTCAAGCCTTTGTTTCAGTCCCAAGGCAAATATACTGGTTGCAACTTCGTGGGATAATCAGGTCATTTTCTTGCTTCAATTGAGTTTTTATCATTGTTTTTTTCTACTTTAATCAATGTAGTTTCTACTTCCTAATTGGGCCTTTTGTTTTGATCTTATCTTATGCGAGAAAATAACAGGGAAAAATTGTCATTATGGATTAATTGTTAGAGATATTAGAAATGGTGCTAGTTTGTGATAGTACCTTGCATTTCTGACATGACCTATTCAGGCCTCAAATTTGTATTTATGAAATTTAATTCAAGTTTGAGTGTAAAATTTTATAATGTCAATGCCATGGCCGCAAATCTATGCCCATATATATAGTCTCAGTTTTATTTGCTAGGGAAATATGAGTGGTTGCTGATATAAGCTCTCAATTTAGAATGTATATCATGCTATGAAAGTGCAGAACCATAAATATATGGAATATGTGTGTCTTTTTATGTACCATTTTTGGTGAAATAGGGCTTCTTGCTGAAGGGTAAGTGATTGATTGAGGGACGGTATTTATTTGCAAACAAATTTGTGAAGTTGATTAGCTGTTGACAGACCTGCTCTGATACATTTTTTTGAAAATTCTTCATAGGTACGATGTTGGGAGATAATTAAATCTGGAACTTCGCTCAGTACTGTGCCTAAAGCATCGATATCACATGAGCAGCCGGTAAAATATCTACTTTTGTAAACCTTACCATGGTACTCCATTTAAATTCGGTTGATTTGCATAGTCAATTGCTAAATTATTGTGTTTATTTTTTCAAGGTGTTATGCTCAACTTGGAAGGATGATGGGACAACCGTCTTCTCTGGAGGCTGTGACAAGCAAGTTAAGATGTGGCCATTGTTGTCTGGTGGCCAACCTGTAACAGTGGCCATGCATGATGCTCCTATCAAAGAAATTGCTTGGGTCCCTGAAATGAGTCTCTTAGTAACTGGAAGTTGGGATAAGACCCTAAGGTGAGTTTGGCCATTATAGCCATTGTAGTTGCAATGTGAGGTCATATGCATAGACATTGACATACCTTACAGATACATGTAAATGTACTTATGTATATTTACATATCAGCACTGCATATGTTTGGTAGAAATAAAATTTTAATTTAAGTCAAAGTCAATAATTAATTTTAACCACATATTTCAAGGGATCCATAACTTTTCAACCACACATTTCATCAATTTTTATTAAAATCTTCTACAAATCTGATTTTAATCCCACCAAATAGGGGCTAATAAATCAGAATTTGAGTGGCATAAAAATCATATACGATTGCAAGAGAAGTTGGCATTCCCTCATAACCCCTACCGCTAACATTATGAGCTTGTTTGAGCCCCATTTTTTCTTCAAGAATGCATTTTGGAATAGTAGATTGATGGAGAATGTGTGGTTGAAAAATAAGGAAAATTTTTGGGTTTGCGTGTAATATTATTTTATTGAAAAATGTGTTGTTGAAAAGAAGAGAGAAAAAAATGTATTTTGAAAATAATGAGGATCATACAAGGGCTATATCTTGTAGAAGGTATAGGCATGAAGATGCAATTTTCACTACGTCAAAATCAAACATTTTCCCATTTCTCCGGGAAATTTTTTTGGCTTCCTGTAAATGCATGATATGTGGTTTTCGGTTTCATTTATGTTTGTTTGCATAGCATGTACTATCAAAGCATAATTACATATTACATAGACAGTGACTCATCATCATCTGTTATTGAAGTGCAATATTTGTATTTGTAACTATCTCTTCCATTTCATGGAATGGAATGGGGTTGGAAATGCTTGAATTAAGGCAGGCATTGTATGCAACATTAGATGTCCTTTCTGCTCACTAATGACAGAATTTATTGGTCCTGAATATTGTATTCCGATTTCTGTGTGATTTAGTAGAATTACATCTCTGCTATCTTCATTATCTAGAGTTCATCTAGTTGCATTACATATACTTTACAACATTTCCTGGGGTGGCAAAGCTTTTCTTTACCCAAAATAAATTCGCATTTAATTTAATGAGTCAAGTCAACAACCAGCCTTTCTTAGTTCTCTGTTCGCATGTATATTAAGGCTTCTTCTCTTTATGGCTTCAAAAATTTAGGTCCGCGTGCTTTCTTCCACTAATATATGATATTATCAATATTATTATCAATATATCCTATGTGACATTTCCTCATTGTTCCCTTTCAGTTATGCACCAGTCTGATTTATTGTATCTCTAGCCCGTTTTGCATTCACATTTGATAGCAAAGTACATTTTATTCGGTAATGAGGTGCTATTCTTATCAGGTATTGGGATTTGAGACAACCAAATCCAGCTCATGTCCAACAACTTCCTGAGCGCTGCTATGCACTTACAGTCAGACACCCTCTTATGGTTGTTGGCACTGCTGATAGAAATCTTATAGTTTTCAACTTGCAGAACCCTCAGGTATTCTTTTTCCTTTATAAAGAATACTGAAACCATTATTTTGTTTCGGGAAGTGGATTATATATCTGTAGCAAATGTCAGCTTAATACTATCAACTTGAAATATATACCTTAGAAAAATTATGCAGAAGCTACCTAACAATGAAAGAGTAAGCTGGAGATTTAAACCACATAGAAATCAAATAGAAATCCTCTTTTAATAATTTTCTGTTTTGGAAAAAGAGATCCATTATTGACTCAAAAATTTCTCATCAGTCATTTATCTTTTTTAATCATACCTTGCATTGGATGTCAGATTTTATTCGATCTACTTTTGAATGACCAATATTAGAGTTTTGGAAACTAAATAAGCATTGAAGGAGCAAACATTTTGAAATTGTTTCAAAGAACAGTCTTGTATAATGTAAAGGGTGGAACCTTTTGAGAAGGGAACAAAAACAATAGCAGTTGCAAGCTGGAAAACGAAAAGTGAGGAAGAAAAGTTTTAGTTTCATACTTCACAAAATATTTTAATTAATATAAGGAGGCCACTATCAATGAAAGTAACCATCTTCTGGAGTATTCCTTTGTCCCATGGTAAGAGTTAATTTTTGGGCACTACTTTCTTTGAGTATGCAGAAAACAACATTTCTAGATCAAATCAAATACCAAGTAAGATAATAATATTTTTTTGAGCTACAAGTTCACGTGATGCACTGGTAAAGAAGAGGTTTTATGGCCCTTTCTTGCTGCTATATAAGCAATATGGGAAATAGATGAATGATAAAATTTTGTATCTTGGTTGGTGGTTGGAGCTTATACTATCAAACAAGGAGAAATCTCGGTTAAGTGCCTCCTTCAACATAAGCTATAATTGTTAATTTTCTTAAGATGTTTGGAGGGTCAAAGATTTTGTCATTTTAAAGACTGGTGAACTCATTTAGAGAGGACGCTTGCATGATAAAAGGTGGTATTGATGTCTAGTATCCAAACTAGTGACAGAATGGAACTCTCTCAGTTATATCAATCGAATGCTTTCCTTGTCTTTGTCGATTGTTTGGTTTGAGAATATTTGGTATCGTCACATAAATAAGCCTCTCTCAAATGGTTGATGAAACATGTACTTCCACTTCATTGGCCAAAGACAGTTATAAGACCATAACTATGCATTTTCTGTACATTGCCAGATCAGCAACATTCAAAGTGCGTTGTTTGGTACTATCAGGATAGAAACATGTTTTTGGTGAATTGCGGCCTTAATTCAGTATTTTAACTTTTCTTTCTTCTTTTTGTATCTCACCAGCGGATTATGAGAATATAGGCACTGAACCTTTGTATATATTCTAGCATTACCTATTATTTAACCAACCCATGACAATAATTACAGTTTGGGATTCATGGGGTGTGTTGTTCATTGAAACATGATGGAATACTCTTCCTTATATTCTCAGAGTCTACTATTTCTGACATTTTCTGCAACATTTTTATTGATTGAATGCGAATAGACTTTCTAAAATTACTAGCTATTTTATTTTACACGAGTCATCATTGCATGGTTAATTGCTTTTTCGGATAAGACAGACTGAGTTCAAGAGAGTTATGTCACCCTTGAAGTACCAGACAAGGTGTTTAGCTGCTTTCCCAGATCAGCAAGGTTTCTTAGTAAGTTCTGTCCGACTCCACGTGACTTAAGTTTATTCTGTGGATTATCCTTTACATGCTCCAGTATTTTGTTATGAGCCATTCTTATCTAGTATTGGTTAAAAATATTTTGACAGCTTGATTTTACATGTAGCATCTCGAGTTGACCATGTGTAGATACTTGAAGATTTTAAAATATTTGTGATGCAAATACTTAATTGAAGGGATCTTGCTTGGTTATAGCTGGATTGGGAGTTCAGCAGGAACGAGTACTGACATTGTTAATGATAGTAAACTGAAACTCGGGTATATTTTGTATGCCAGTTTGAGATTGTCTGGTGTTTTGATTAACTGAATGGACAGTGGAGAAGTAGAAATTCTAAATAACTTGGATGAATATATTTGATGTCAAGGATTGCAATGAAGTCTTATATGTACTTCTTTGGCAAACTTTCTTCTGAATCAAGTATATGTAGTGAAATTGCAAGCACACTTGCTGCTTAACCTACCCGAGTTCCACTTCACAGTGTGCTACATACACGATTCTTTCGTAGATTCTGATATTTCCACATTCATCTCTTGAACTTACAAAAAAGAAAGCGCAGAGGGAGACCCCTGCACTATGGCAGTCCTAAGAGAAGATAGAAGATTGTCTGTTATTCTCTTTGCTGCTATTTGCTTTCTCTCTTCCGTGCAGCACTGCAGGGTTTAATTTTTAATATGATTACATTTTGTGGTTATTTTTGCCTCTTTGATTTGTGAAGAACTGGTTCTCCGTTTTCTCATTTTTCTTATGTGGAGAAATGCTCGTCAGTCTTCTTAAATAGCTAAATATATAGAAGAAAAGGATGCATGAAATCATATGATTATTTCATCTCCAATGGCATTGATATTATTATTTTTATAGTTGCAGTAAATTTTCTGATTATAATGTGACATTTAGCATCGTTCTTGTAGGTTGGCTCAATTGAAGGAAGAGTTGGGGTACACCATATTGATGATTCACAACAAAGTAAAAACTTTACTTTCAAATGCCATAGAGAAGGCAATGACATTTACTCTGTCAACTCGTTGGATTTCCACCCTGTAAGATATTTCATTTTAAATGATGTCAATGGAGCAGCTATATTGTCATTCCTCCTGCTCCCGTCCTCCCGTTTATTTTTTTTTCCTTCCTTTTTCTTTCTTTCATTCATTCTTTGGGTGGTTGTGTGTGATGTGGTGGGAGGGAAATTGTTGACATCTTAAACTTTCTAGCATGTCAGATTCTGGATTTTTCTTCTATCTTCTTGAGTTTATGTCAGTGAACACATATTGAATATATCCAAGTCATTAGTGTTGTACGCCTAAGATTTATTAAGCCAACATATGTAGTCTGCAAACTTTCTAACTATTTTAAAATTAAAATGTGTATCCTTTAATTAAAATTGATCGTTTATGCCGCTTTATAGACAGTGATATAATGTTTTTCAGCTCTTCATTAAATTTGATTTTAGGCTTAGCTTGTTTCATGGGAAGACAAACTTGAAAGAATCATGGAATGACCCAAACTAGAGTTCTTCATGAGGAAATTTGGTTTTTTTTGAAGCACTATCTAAAGAAATCCCCTTGTTAAGTTTATACTTGAACTAAAAGCATCAGATTTTTGCTTTTCATTTTCAGCATTTTATCATATCAACTAATGAAAAGAAAAATCATGAGGTTGGAATCTCTTAACTGCCTCTTGTTACCTGGAGAATCAATCTATTTTTCTTCGTATGTGGATCAAACGAGCTTGCTAATTTGTGATAACACCAAGAATTGTGTGTGAAACTAGTTATTTTTTACCTTGGTTTTATCTGTTTGTCTGCCAATCTGGTATCTTAAGTAGTTCTGAATTATATTATTTACTTAATTGTCAAAGATGAAGTCTTAAATACTTGGCTAATAGCATGATTATCTATATGGGGTTTACGAAATTCTAAATCTCCAACTTCTAGAAGATTTATTTATCAGTTTAGCTTTTATGTTAAGAGTGTGTTACTCCCTGATATTCTCATTGACTACATCCTAAATTATGATCTCAATTCTACAAGATTTTTTGTTGTTATGCTAAAAAGTTTGATAGAATTTGTGTTTTTTTTTATTGATGACCTGGTTCTTATATTATGTGCCTTGTCTCAGATACATCACACATTTGCAACATCTGGATCTGATGGAGCCTTCAACTTCTGGGACAAAGACAGCAAACAGAGGCTTAAGGTATTATGGAATCCTTCTTCTTAAGTCTTGAAAATGCTTGCAGTTATCCGTTTATGCTAAATCGCATTGCTTGGCATGCTCGTTTCTTAGGCTATGGCAAGGTGCGGTCAGCCTATACCTTCCAGCGCTTTCAACAATGATGGCTCCATTTTTGCATATTCGGTGAGTATTTGTTAACTGATGTTCATCATTTTTTTAATCATGTTAGGGACTTCTTTCTTAGAGAAGAATGGTGCATTTAGAAAGTTATTCTCTTTGTGACAATGTTACATAGTTGTTTTACGTCTATGTTTACTTTTTACTTCCAAAGCAATAACGCTTGAGGAAGCTCTTACAATTTGTCTGATACTGAACCTTTTTGTCACCATAGTAGATTTCATTTATCTTTCTCTGTATGACTAAACCTAATATTTCAGATGAATTACTTAGGGGCCGTTCTCTTTGCCGTTTTCTGTTTTCGATTTTTCAAAACGGTAAAAACGTGTTCTCTTTGTCATTTTCGAAAACGAATTTTTGAAAACAAAAAGAAAATTTGTGAAGAAAACGCAAAACGACTGAAATGTCGTTTTGGGCGTTTCCTTCACAAATTGGAAAACACGGATCACCAACTGGAAAATACGGGAAACAGCCCCACTCTCTCCTCCTTTCTTTTGCCAATCCACACTCCACCGTTACTTTCCAACAGTCTAAACTCCGGCAAACCTCCTCCAAAACGGCCGGATTTATATACCATTGTGAAGCCCTCAACCCCCTCTTCAATTACAACACAAACAACAATCCAATCATATACCAGAATTGATCAAAATAATCCTCAAAAACTTATTTGGCACAAACTGCTTCTGCCGATTCTGGAGATAATCGAAGGTGACCCATTGTAGNGAAAATTAGATATGATGATTCCATTAACTATAGTGATGATAGTGCAAACTATTAGCTTTTTTTTTAGTTGAAGTTGCTTCTTTTTTTCCATTACAAATGGAGTGATTTCTAACTACTGTAATACTTTTTATTTTGTTAAACATCTTCTTTCTTGAGGTTGACTATATCTTAATTTGCTAATAGCTATATATCTTATTTACTATATGCTCCAACATTGATTTTTTTGTATTTTTGTATTATTTTATAATTCTTTTACTTAGATTTTTTATTTTTTGTGAGGCTTACGCCTCAATCCGCCTTGAGACTTACGCCTCGCTTCATAAAGAAAAATTGCCTCAATACTTAGTTTTGCCTTTTTAAACCTTGCCGCCACTTTCCAACAACTCCGGCAAACCTCCTCCAAAACGGCCGGATGTATATACCATTGTGAAGCCCTCAATCTCCCTCTTCAATTACCACAATAACAACAATCCAATCATATACCAGAATTGATCAAAATAATCCTCAAAAATTGATTCGGCACAAACTGCTTCTGCCGATTCTGGAGATAATCAAAGGTGACACATTGTAGTATTGGATACGCCTTATTGAGAGGAGTGAATTGGTGGTGGTCCGATATCGGAAAGGTGGCCGGCGACGGTGTTTCTAGGCCGAAGCAGTGAGTGGTAGCGCGGTGATTTCGACTGATTTTCGGTCAATTAATCCGTAGAAGTTGTAGAGGGAGGTCAGGGGGTTCGAATGATGCTGGGATCTGGTGGTCTAGGTGGTGGGTGGTGGTCGGTTTGTGAGGTAGAAGACGATGGTTCTGGAGGGATGTTTTCCGACCTGCCAGGCCGGAGAATGGAAAAGAATGAAAACAATGTAGACGTGTTTTCTAGAAAATGTTTTGAGAAATGTTTTTACAAAATGTCAAAAAGAACGCATTTTCAATAATCGTAAAATGGACTCTCAAAACACAAACTGATTTCAAAACTGAAAACTGAAACACAAAGAGAACGACTCCTTAGCTGTCGATACTCCTAAATTTTTCTTTTTCTGAAAATTTGCTGTAATCCTTTTTCAGGTCTGTTATGATTGGAGCAAGGGTGCAGAAAATCACAACCCTGCAACAGCAAAAACATACATTTACCTGCATGTGCCACAGGTCCTTGTTTTGTTTGGAGATGTTCTCGCGTTGACATTAAAGCTCCATTGTGCTTTAAATCCTGAACACGCTATATTTTGTTGTTTGTGCAGGAGTCTGAAGTCAAAAGCAAACCAAGGATTGGAGCCGGTGGTAGAAAGTAGTGATCTTTTGGAGAATGCGGTTTTGTTTGATTCTAGAACAAATCAAGATTATCTTATCTACGAAATTTCATATATTAGACCTATAAAAGAAAATCGTATTTGGCTGCTGTTTTTTTGAAGGCCCTGGCCAGGTTTTTACGCCTCCGCCAAACTCAATGGGATGCTTGTATTCACCTCAAGTTCAAAATTTGGAATGCATGTGCATGTATGTGGCATTGATTCTTCTAGTTAGAGATGCTTTCTTTTTCATTTTACTGAAATGATATTGACACTAGATGCTGTACAAGAAATTGATAAAAATTACAGGAACTAGCATTTATTTAGTTGATAAAGGTGCACTTAAAAGAACTAGATTGGAACTTGAATCTCTTGGGAAATAGAGCAAGGATAAAAGTTCTCCAAGAATTAGCTTACTCTATTCCTTGGAGGTAACACATCTGCATTTTTTTTTTTCATTCTTTCACTATTCAATAATACATAAAAATACATTTCTGGTGTGATTTACTTGCACATGAACATGTCAAATGGTGTCCTATGAACATACCTGCATCATCAAAATTCTGAAATATGATATCAACTGGAACCTGAATAAAAATCGAAAACTAGATAAGAGGATCATTTACAAAGATGACAATTATCAATCTAATACAGAGGAATTCCATGAGTTTTTTATCATAGAACCACAGGAAGATTATCTTGGCCCTGATAATTCATCAGGTCGGATATTGGAAGTGGAGTCGGGAATTATCCAGCCAGTATTCATGTGGTATGTGTGATTGAACTCTTGACGGAACATCTCTTCCTTCTGCCACTCCTCCCACCTCTCGGCCAAGCCATCACCTTCAAGCATCCTGACAACATCCGACATCTTGGGACGTTCCATAGGGGAACTTTGCGTGCAAAGCAAAGCCACTTGAGTAAGCTGCTCCACCTCTTCCTCAATATAATTTCCCTGAAGGTCTGCGTCGACTAAAGTTTCCAATTTTTTCTGCTTTAGAAGTTCCTTAACCTGAAATTCAAGTCCAGCAGTAAATGATATGAAAAGTCCTAAAGGAAAACCATGCAAGAACACCAAGCATATTTTGTTGGCAGTATTAAACAAGACTCAACATTATTATGAACAAGATTTAAGCATTTTTTCTTCCTTTAATGTCCAATCGTGTACAGTCCATTCTACCAAACAAGCCATGAAGGACTTTAGAGTAGATTTTAAGTGAGCTTCGTTGAGCATAAGAACATAATGGAGCACTTTAATTTTTTCCATCCATTTCAAGGTTCGACATTGAAGACCACACCAGATCATATTATCTAACTGAAGGATGTACAAAAAGAAAATCATTTTATGCAACATAATAGTGAATATCAAGCAGCCTAGACTAGTGCTCACCCAATCCAGTAACATCACATCGTCGTCATTGGCAAGACGAGCCAGATCGAAAGCCCTCTGCCCAGTAATGAGCTCAAGAAGCATGACTCCATATCCAAAAACATCAGTTTTCTCGGATGATTTACCAGTGGAGAGGTACTCGGGAGCTATATGACCAATTGTGCCACGTACAGCCGTGGTAACATGAGTATCCTTGTAGTCCATGAGTTTGGCCAGCCCAAAGTCACCAACAACTGCTTCAAAGTCTTCATCCAACAATATGTTGGCGGCTTTTACATCACGGTGAATAATCTTAGGGTCACAATGATCGTGCAAATAAGCAAGCCCCCTTGCAGCTCCCAATGCTATGTGCTTTCTTATTGGCCAATCAAGCGGGCGTTGTGATTCTGGTCGCTCTATAATAATGCATTATTAAGCTATTAGAAAATAAATAACAATAAATATTATAAAGTAGAGCCTTTCCAGATACCACGCATCAAAAATCAACATGGCAAGTTCATGTTCAGCTGCATTATAAGATCCACATGACAATCTAACAAATGAACTATAAAATTTTGTCAACCACCGCATTTGCCCCGATTCTAATGGACCACTTGCCATCCACCAACAAAACAATCAATAATCGAACCAAAGATGTCCAACAATCGTTTAGACCAAACCATCACAATGAATTGTCATTCCTTTCACACACTCACTCATACACACATTCACATCTGCTTATTAATTTTGTCTGTGTAATCATGGAACAGCTTGGTTGCTGTTGCACATTGTAGTATGATATAAACCAGCAAGGGTTGATGTTGGCAGAAGCAGATTCAATTGAAAATTGGTAACAAGTTTCTGTGAGAAGCAGAAAAAATGACAAGGAATGGAAGTAAATTACTCTGGAAAGAGAGAGAAAAAGAACAAGTAACAAGTGCGAGGCGTGTGGCAAAGAGTTAGTACCCCTTTCTAAACAATACTGTCAAACAAAGAGACGTCTTATTTTTTGAAATTTGTTGTAAGTGTGGAGAAATTTGTTGTAAGTGTGGATGGGAATTAAGACTTTGGATTCACTCCTTCGCCACATCTTAAAAACTGTGGAAACCAGAAGTAAAATCATCATAATTACACAAAGGGCAATTGATCACTAGTGTTCGAGTGTCACTATCACTCTATCTACAAATAAACAAGTTAATTAAATTCACCACAAAGCAGTTAATACATCTATTCTATTTTTTCCTCTACATGAGAATATAACATGCCAACAACAGTGGAATGAATCATTTCTTCCATTTAACTAGTGAAGAATTTATGATAGTTTACCCCATAACGAATATGATTGTCAGATGCATAAACCAAGAAAAATATCGAATTCAGCTACTTTGGATGATACATGTAGCAGTTTACACTTTACATACTACAATTAATTACTTACAATTAACTTGTAGCTAGCATCTCACGTAGAGAGTTCCTTGGTACTCTAGATCAAGATTTCAATATTAATTATTTTCCAGATTTAGGTTCTCATTATAAATTAAAGTAAGAACATCATTTCCACTAACAAATCTCTTTCAGTCCTCATACATCAAATTGTTGTTTCCATCAATATCATCCTTATAAAATATTTCATCGCTTAAACTACAGAACATAATTAACATTATAATCAGCAAGCAAAATGTAAGCACAAAACATACGTATGTGACTCGGTTAAATAAGGAACATGAGAAAATATAACAAGCGCTACCTCTTAAGCATGATGCTACACTTCCATTAGCCATATAGGGGTAAACAAGCAATCGCTCTGTTGGTGTCATGCAAAAGCCACGTAACCGAAGGAGATTTCGATGCACAGCCATGCTGATCATTTCTACTTCTGTTTGAAACTGCAGCTCTCCACCTTGTGTCCGTTCTTCTTTTAATCTTTTAACTGCCACAAGAGAACCATCAGCTAACCGGCCTTTATAAACCTTACCAAATCCACCCCTGCCCAGAATATTTCCGTTGCTAAAATTATCTGTTGCAACTTGGAGTTCACGCAAAGAAAATCTTTTGAGCTGGCCTAAATGGACTTCTGGATCCTCCTCAGCTGCAAATGAATAGAAGATAATTAAGAACACATCATACACAATAATTATGATAAATTAAAGCCTTCTTTAGGTCCACTAACCAGGAACATCAAAGAAATGAACTGGTGGCTTCCTTCTTCGGTACCAAGCCAGAGCGATTGCAGGAACAGCAAAGAGGAGAGCTGCTCCAGCGGCAACCCCTCCTGCAATGGCTCCAGTTGCACTGTTGCCAACTGTAGCAGCAATCAATTGATTAGCATGTGACGCGCGAACAAATAAATAAATGGTGAAATGTGAGTTTGACAGTAAATCAAAAATAATCCTTGACCTTTCCAGAGTAAAAAATTTTCAACACATACCAATTAAAAAATGGGATAAGATTTGTGCCGATCATTAAAATAATATAAACTTCTGAAAAACAGAACAAATTTTTTACATATATATGGTTTAGAGATCACATTAAATGGAAATACAAAAAATAGTCAGTAACTACATTGGATACTCCCGCTAGTTAATGAGAAAGCACCTCCAACTTCTGAGTGCTATTGTGTCATATTTACTTGATCATACAAGCAAGGCATATCTTCTTAATATGCTATTGCCATGTGCTGGGCAAGGAAAATAAAGTATTCCAAAAAATGGAAATGGTAAAGAATTGACGAACCTCCTGACGAACGTGCACTTGGCGGTGGAAGTGGAGGTGATGGAGTTACGGGAAGACTTATCAGTTTAGAATTATTTTTGAAACTGGAAGACAGGAACTTGACAGTCAGAATAAGACCTTGATGAGCAACTTAGTCTACTATGGAAAAAGATGAAAGTAATTGTACTAAACCTGATAGGAGTGAAAAGTTGAAATGAGCCATTGACTGGAACCCTCCCTGACAAATCGTTGTTTGACAGATCACTGTATTTATACATGAAAATGATTATTAATTATTAGTCAGCCAAAAAACAAGCAAAGAAAACCACCAGTGATAAAAGAAAACTCATCAATTCTCTACTTACAGGACTTGAAGTGAATCGACGGTGGTCAGAGACATAGGAATAGTTCCAGTCAAACTGTTATTGTTAAGCCTCCTATGTAGTCCATAAACACACATAATTAGGTTTCACAGAATCTGAGAAATTAATATCATAAAAATACAGTTACTCCTGAAAATTTCTCAATAATCGGTAGATGAACTCAATGGGAGGGAGTTATTGCGTTAATACCTTCTTCAAATATAATTAGTCTATTAGGCCTTAATATTGTACGAGCTGAAAGGTTCAAGCATTGTCCCAAATTTGTTTTAGCAATTTTCAATAGATAGAGAAAAAATTACTTTGGAAGGAGAAAAATATAGGAAAAACAATTAAGAATCCTGCTCTAAATGTTCATATTGGGGCTCTCAAAACAAATATCTGAGGCCAATTTGTAATCTCTCTCTGGCAAAAAAATTAGATAAAGAAAGGAAAGAAAGCCATAAAATATTTAGATAAGAAACGGAAAGTGTATCACGTACAGGAAGCGTAACCTCTTAAGCTGGCCCAGGGTCTCTGGGATGGGACCACTTAAACTGTTCAAATAAAGATCCAAGCTCGTCAAACTTGTTAAGTTCCCAAGATCACTTGGAATTCTTCCACTTAAGTTGTTACTATAAAGTTCCCTGCAAAATGCACATAAAAAAAAAAAAAGGAGAGGGACACAAAGGTTAAGATGATAATATGTAAAACAAATATTACGCCAATAGAAAAAAGCAACTTCCAAAAATTATAAGTGCACATCGATAGTCATGTAAATCTAAGGTCTCTCGAATATCGAATATGTGAGGTAGTCAATATTCTGACTACAGAACAACAAAGAAAATGCTCGACAGCAATGCAATTCACAAAATTAATATATTTGTAAATATATAATTAAAGGAAATGTACTGCTTGTCCTTTGCATCATCATTTGAGGAAAGGGGCAAAGTACTGGAAATTAAACCTTTTTTAGCATTTTTTACAGTATCTGTGATCAAGGAAGATAGTGTCTGTAAAGAGATAAACGTATGATCTTTGAGTAACTGAATGGAAAATGAACTAAATATTAACAGCTCTCAAAATAATAAAACATATATTCATTCACAGAACCTTGCAGTAGAGTCAGCATCTAAATAGGAAATGAATATGTCATTTTGAGGGCAATCTCCTAAGGGGGTGTTTGATAGATATTATTAAGGAAATAATGTATTTTAAATAGTGATATGATGGGAAATATGCAGTTAAAAAGTAAGGAAAAATTATTGATGTGATGGAAAATATTATTTTATTGAAGAATGTGTGGTTAAAAATGAGTTTTGAAAGAATGTGTGTCAAACAGGAGCTAAATAAATAAAATCCCATGAAACGGATTGGAACAACGAACAAGTTATGTCCTCAGTGAAATATGCTCCTTTCAGACCAACAAACTAAAATATATTAAACATACAATTATTTCATTTCTCATAGGTTGGTCGAGAAAACGTATCGCATGAATGCATAGTAAGGTGACGCATATAATGTGTGAACAAATCAACAAGAAAGTAGTGGCAAAATGTCAATTAAGTGATTTTGTTTTGCAAAGGATGACTTACAGGTATTGCAAATTTGGGAGCTGACCGAGCTGGGGAACCAGTTCACCGGACAAATTTGCATTGCCTAGATCACTGAGCACAAAGAAAATAATTTCAATAACTGGAGGATCATGTTAATTCTACAAAGAACCTCGTGTAGCTAATTATGGAAAGGACAAAACAGTCTCACACTCTAGTAACACTATTGTCACTGTTGCATGTAACGTGAAACCAAGTGCATGGATTGACAAGTGTCGCATCCCAACTCTGAAGTATGTTGTTAGGATCGGCCAAGCTTGTCTTAAACGCATTCAAGGCATCACCTGTCACGCGTAAATCAATTAGCAAATATCGAGGACAATTTATTTTACAAATTCAAGTAAAGCTACGACCAAACAAATCAACATAATTATTTGGAAAGCCAACAAAATATGAGTTAACCACTTTGTAATAATAAGCCTCAGAGGCACCACTGTCTGTTTTGAATTAATGTTGTAAACAAAAGTATCGCAAGTGGGAGGAATAAGCATAATAGCCATCGAGTCCCGACCCCTTTTTTTCTTCATTGTCATAATGTACAAGTCAACAATTTAACTTTCCTGAACAGAACAAAAGGAGAAATTTTCCGAAGTAATGGCTAATATAAAATGGTACTCTTTCATTAGCTCCGAAATAAACCCTCCCGAATCCCCCAGTTTTGTACTAGTAATTTTACTATATTACATCCCCAGAAACAAAACAGAAACTTCATGGGTCTTCAATCCGTGATTTGAGTTTACAATAAAGAAGAAACGGGGCTTGAAACAAATCAATTCACAATATAATTAAACTCAATTCAAGTCAACAGGCAATAGATACATCCAAATCACTTCAATTGAAATACAAAGCAGAAGAACAGACCTTCGGAGTTGGCAGAAACCCGAGAAAATCGCGAAATCCCGATAATTAAGCAGAGAAAACCCAAGATTGAGATCGCAGATACTGACCGATCCATTAACATTTGACCCCAACACATCACCTAAAAACCTAGATTCTCCATTAAAAGCCTGTGTTTCGCCACTACTATACTGAACTATTGCTAAATAACCACCGACCTCCACCTCAAAACCTACAGAGCAAGTCAACCTTAGCTACAATATCTCAAAACGCTAATCCAAAAACTCGATCTCAAATCAATCGGAAGAAGCAAATCAAAAGTCAAAAGAAATAGTAATTCGTCAACAAAAGGGAAAAAATGGACATTAAAACAATTATTTGCGGAAATTGAGCATGCAAGCGGAGAAATGGAGAGGGCTTATTCTGGTAAAAATTTATTTATTAATGGGTTGAGTATATTATTTATCGATGGGTTGAGTGTTCAACGGTCAGTGTAATGGAATCGGGCCGAAGTCATTGCAGAGGAAGGAATGCAAAAGTCAAAAACCTCTCTCTACTTATTTCTCTCTCTACTTAATTTTCTCACTGTCAGTACCAGTTGTACTGAATAATTTATATTAAATTGAGACCAACAGGAATTTATGTTTTCTTTTTCTAAAAATGAAAATTCTTCATGGCGACCTGTTCAGGCGTATTTACTCTAATAGAAACCCTGTTTGGCTCATCTTAAAAGTTGCTTAATCTTATTTTTCAGTAACTTTTATATCTCTCTTTTTTTTTTCTTTTTGACAGAAATAAATCACTTTTATTGAAGTTCTTAATACATTTGGGTGGCCAATCTAAGCCAAACACTATGATTAAATCGGGTAGAACGTGTCTTGTTAAATTGCGTGCAACGTTGTTAACCTCCCTTCAAATGAAAGTGCTTTTTAAATTTGTGAACAAGACAACAAATTCTATTATCATACTGAAGATAGACCATTCAGAAGCATGAATTCGAAAATTTTAAACATCTTGCTGCTATTCGACTCGACCTCCAACACCGTCATATTCCGAGACAGCAAAATTGAATCCCTCTAGAATAGCCATGTACTCTCCAATAAGAAGCTCCATCGAAACTTGAATTTCCACAAACAATTCTTACCCAAACAAATTGATCATTTTTTTATAGTAAAGTTACATATGTTTAGAATATTTACAAAGCAATAACTCAACTAGACGGTGTAACATCCCAGCCTGTCGAAATGTCGCATATGAATGTTACGTACACTAAGAACCCGTTAAAGATGGCGATAATCAATTCACTATCCGCCAATAATAACATGACCATTACGAAATTTTTATTCCAGGCCACTTTTGGTAACATCAAATTGCACGCTAAGTAGATAATTTTCGTAATGAGGCGAGAAGGGAAGGAAACTTTTTATATTTCTAATATATTTGAATACATTACTTTCTAATTATAATTAAAAAAAATTAAATTTTAAGTTGAGCTAAATAAGTTTTTCGCTAAAATTATATATTATTTCCACTTCAAGAAGCGTTTGGCATGGGTAACTGGTAAACGGTAAACGGGTCAAAGACGCACGCACGGTGTCAGGCCCACCATCAGCCTCGTAAGTCGTAACGGGGAAAGAATGGGATTGATGCTGAAAGCTGTAACCTTGTGGCTTACAGGCTTAGTTCCCTGTTTGGGTCCCCTGCTTTTTCTCTCACAAAATACAACTCATACACTGTGTTATCACTTTTGCTTTCATTAATGTATTAGTTTTACATTTTTATTTTTATTTTGAAATAATATGAATCGAACCAGGTCACGACATTTAGTCGTCGAAGGACAAAGATGGTACGTTGAATCCATTCAATTTTTATAAAGATTACTGTAATTTTTAATTTTTCGGGAAATCCTTCAGTATAGTCGCTTATTAATCGCTATCTTTATTTGATTGTGTCTGTCTCATTCCAATGGTCGAGGACGTGAACTATTACTCAAGAGAAAACGAGAATTTTGGTTTCGGCTCGTTAGGATAGAGATAAGTAAGAGATTTTTTACATTGATGTAGCACGATTCTTGAAAAATGATCCGACTAGTCATAACGGGAGTTGCAATGCTTACCAGTTGAAAAACTGATATAAATGAGTGACAACAAAATTTGAGTAATAGATATTTATTTGCTCCAAAGATTTTACGTTGGACTCTCATTAAAACAAAAACTTAAAATTAAAAAAAAAAAAAAAAAGTTAATTAATTATTTAAATTTAATTGTCAACAAATGTGGATGACACATGTGATCTTGCAGTTTGAAAAAGATAGTAACATTTTAAAGGCTACCTAATTATCATTGACCAAGCCACCAGAAGTCGTGGGATCGATTTTTCCAAAAACACTCTATTTAATGATGTTGACAGCACGTGATTAATATTTTAATATTTTTAATAAATAAACTATAAGGAAAAATTAGGTTGAAAAATACCAAAATTTGAGGTTACATCTAGGATCCGTTTGATTGTAAATGTGAAATTTGGGTGGAAAGAAAATGAATTACATGGAATTGAATTGCCTAAAATTTATTTTACTGAAAATTGCAATTAAAGGCGTGTTCGGTAGAGATTAATATCAGATTAAAATTGAAAAACTAGCCGTTATTGTTGACTTTTATTAGACTAGTGAGACCTAATTACGGCTATATTTTCAATTTTAATTAGATTTAAAACTTTACCAAACATACTATAATTGTGTTTGATTGATATAATTTTCCACATGAAAAATGTTGAAAGTTTGGTGTCCGTTTGACTTTGTTTTTCATGGAAATTGTCCATTAAAGTGATAATTTTTTTTTTTACCATTGGGTCTATAATTTGTTTCAATTGCCAAAAAAAAATATCGAATACCATTCATTTGGCTTTGTTTTGCATAGAAATTGTTAATAAAAGTGATAATTTTTTTTTACCATTGTATCTAGAATTTTTTCGGATTGTCAAAAGAAAAAAAAACTGAAAAATCAATTACCAGAAACAACAAAAGAAAACATTTTTCTTCAAAACCAGAGAAAAGAAGCGCGTGAGGGGTGGGGAGGGAAAACGAATTCCGAGAAAATTTTTTGCTATCAAACACCACAAAAGATGGAAAATGGAAAACTTTTTCCAACTTTCTAGGAAAATAGAGGGAATCAAACGTGGCCTTAGTGAAATTTGAAAGTTACTTTCTCAAAAATAGCAATCGTATCTCGAATTTAAAACTAACACATTAAGGTTAGAATTGAGGTCACATATTGAGAACTAATGGTCACAATTGCTCGGAAACTTCTAATGTAGTTATGAAATTTTGAATTCAAAACAATGGAGAAAATGTCACGTTAAATTTGACAATAGAGCAAGTTCGGGGAATTCAATTTCTCAAATGAAAATCATAAGTACGATTGAATTTGACTATTTAAATATAATTTCATAATCATGTTATAATGCATTAAGTGTCACACGTAATTAAAAAAATGATACGTATTACTCAAGAGCATAATGGACAATTCGTAGAGGAATTTCAGAGCTACATATTCAAGAGAGAAAATTGAAATTTAATTTAAAATCACAACGCCTGTTAATTATGTTTGATACAAAATATTACTTCATTAAAAAAATCCAGTTATGTAAACACCGAGCGTTTATCTTAGCCCTGTTTGTAACTCTAAAAAATCTGATTAAAATTTAAAGCAAAATCAATAATTAATTTTAATCAGACATTTTATATAATTCATAACTTTTCAACCATATATTTCATCAATTTTTATCAAAAATTTCTAAAAATAATGTTTTAATCTCTACCAAATATGGGCTTAATATCACAAGAAAGTAGTGTACATGCCTAAAACTGGGTTTTGCTATTTGTTGGACCACTGGGCGGCTGCCTTTGGGCCTTTTTTTTTTTTGGGTACTTGTTAGGCGTTGGAGTAGGTGTGTGCCAAAATAAAAGGGAAATTATAAAAAATCAGGTGTTTAAAGAGTGGTTTATAAAAATCAGGTTTGTACGTTTTTTATTCACTTTTCAGGTATTTTATTTTAAATATCAAACCATAAATATATCCAAAATCTAATTCATATTTTTAACCCTAATTTTTCTCTCTCTCATGGCTGCCCCCCCTTCTCTCTCCCTCCCACCACCCTCTTCCTCACCGCCACCGCCGCCGCCGCCGCTCCTCCGCCTCCCTCC